CAAGAAATAAGTCAAAGATCTTTGTTCCCACAGCACGACCTAGCATATCCCAACTGATTCTGAAGCATAGAGACAAAAGGAAAGATCCCCCAGGCTACATAGCTAGAAAGTGTCTGACTCCAGAGTTTGTACTCAATCATTTTGTTTTGTGGTTCTTAATAATTTACAGTAATACCAATATGAAGAATAGTTTATTATTAATGTATGGTTGTCATTGGGGGTCTGTTTCTAGACTTTAAAAAGCTGTTCTTTTCTGAATGAGTTGGCTCAGGAGGAAATCTAGGCTTTCTGCAGCTTCTACTGCAACAAAGACAGAAGCTGCCAGACCATCGGTGGAGAAGTTCTCAACAGACAACATGGACGATACTGGACATGTTCGTTCCCTATAGAACCTCAGAGCAGCCCCAGTGGCACAGTCACTGTGGCTGCTAGAGAAGTCTGGTTTGATTCCCCCTGTAACACACACACTCATAGAATAATTTAAACAGTACTTCATAGAATAATCTAAACTATGGTCATTCAGTTGAAGGTGACTCCATTCTTACTGTTCTTACTGTCACTCAGTCTTTCAGAGATGCATGTCTCTCCTCCTACTTCTTTCCCCACTAGCCCATCATCTTGTTTCCCTTCTTCTGTCTGTCCATAATAAGCAAAGACTTCAGTGTTTGCAGGCTCTGCTAGGAAGCATACTGCGACACTGACACCCATTTAATTTCCCTTACATAGCAAAATTCCCCACAGATGTGAGGGCCTGAAATTTGGGAATTCAATGAGAGCATCTGCCTGGGTGCCAGGCAGCACCCAAGGAGAAGTGAGAAGCTTCAGCCTCTGCTCTTCCCAAAGAACATGAAAATGTTGTGAAGATAAAAACAGAAGGGCAAAGGCTTAAGCAGTGATATAAAGCCAGAAAGTTAGGTGGAAAAAGACATCTACTGAACATAAATCTATAAAAGAGACCCAGTATTTTTATGCAATACACTGAGATGTATTAAATTTTAACCTAGAAATGTATCTAGGGAAAGTATAAATACATACCAATTAATACAAGTGCTCATTGATGAAGTAATCATCTACTCATAATTTAATATGTGTTAGCCAGCTAGTAATCAATGAAATTCATGAAAAAATAAAAAGTCAATCACTTCTTAATCCTTTTACTTCTTTTGAAGTTCTAGTGATCACCTACTTCATAGATTTTTCCTTTATAATTAAATGTTTACTACTAATTACATGTCTTCAATATTATTATGTATCACCACTTGACACTTCTCCAGCCTGCTAAAACTGATTTTTTTCATCAAACTCTTAAAACTGTAAAGACAATAAAGTTTAGTACCTTAAAACAGCCAACAGGCCATGTTAGAAAAATATACATTGGGAAAGCTCGCTAAAATGCTACTCTCAGGTTCTTTCTAATTTCCGTTTCCTAAGTATGACCACCTTACAATGAAGTTCGTTTTGTACTTAAAGAGTCAAATCACTCTGGATGGAGTCCCAGCTTTTAAATGAATTCCTCTTCATAACACAATGTGTTTTATCAGTGATAAAGTGCAAACTCATGTCTCTCTTCCAACAGATCTCATGAGTGAAACACTTTCAAAATTAATAACGGCTTACTACAGTAGGTTGGCTGTGCAAGTAGTTGTAGTATCTCTTTCTGGAAAACTTAGAGAATAGGAAAGATTCCCATCCTAAGATTTTAATATTATGTTAATAACCAAACAAAATTCATTTCTGAAGGACAACATTGCAGGGGACAGAAGGAAGGAACTGTTAAGGTGTAAGGTGGGATGAGATGGAGCTATCTTGGTCTAATGATTATGCTGAGGAGATAGATACTGAAAACTGAGTCATTGAGATATGCATCATCATAGCATCCCAAATAAGCCCAGTAGCTATTTGAGGAGTTCGATTTTGTGTTCAGCAGTGAAAGAGAAAGAAAGGGATGGGAAGAAAATGACTGCTATAGTTGGCTATTGGCATATGGCAAAAGTGTGGGGTAATGTAAAAGATCTGCTAAGAAGTTCCTACTCTGGATCTGGGCATGGTGCTAAAATATAAATGAAAGAAAGACATGTGTGGGAGCTTCCAGAACCACCTTGATTTCAGCCTCTTTGCTGTATTCTAAATTGTCATCTCTGGCTTGGAATATTTGGATGCTTTAATTATAATTTATATTCATTACATTGTAGAGTTATTCATTTTTGTCTCTGCAAATTTGTCTCCCATTAATCTGGCATATATTAATATAAGATCAATGTATACCACACTGAAGAAAACATAAACTAAAGAATTTACTTTTTGGTCTCAGCTTAATTTGCTTTAAAACCAATGTCCCATTCTACCACTCTAGGCTGCCAACCCACCATATCCCTCAAGAAACACTCTTCATTTTTTCTAGCTTCTCCCTTACTTGTTGGAAATTACATTGAAATTAAATATTTTTAGCTACATGACCACATATATTCAACCAATGCTGGTCAATAGCCATTCCTTCCCCCTAGCTAGTGGGGAGTACTTGTATAAATTGTATATAAAGAAACCTTTTCAGTAGGCAATGCAGAACTTTATAGGTGAGCCCTGCCGTCCACCACTAATTCAGTTATTATGTCCTCCAGTGTAGTTATTACTAATTCAACCAGTTGTAAGCAAAATAAATTAACTTTAGTAAATGTAAGAAAAAGGACATTTATTGGAAGACTTTGTGAGGCTTGGAACATCAACAGAAAGGCTGGAGAACAAAGCCAGAACTGAGAGCTTCAGATCCAAGATGCGGGAAATAAAGGATGAGTCTGAGAGAGAAGGGTCTTCTCGGAGAGGCACCACTGCACTAACCGGTCTTCAAAAGAGCCCAGTCGCTTCTCCCTCAGGTTAAAACTCAAAAATCCAAGGAGGCCATGTGTTCAGCAATTGGGGAAAGAGCACCTGGTTAACAGGTCCACCAGACACAGTGAGGGAGAGAAAGGAAATATGAGAACTTTGGAAAAGTTCACAGTTCTTGTTTAGTGCTCAGGTTGAATACCAGCAGCCAGTACATGAGCTATAATAATAAAAGACTGATTCTATTTCAAAAGATCAGTCTTGGAGTGATTACTACAGCATTTACTCAGGCCCATCCCACAACAGGTTCCTGTCCACTAGGCCGAATAAACACAGAAACTTCAGAAAACAGTGAATGGGCTTAACTCATATGTTAACAAAGAAACAATCAAGTATATCTCAATTAAAAAATATATGAATGAATATTTTAGAATGAAAAGAAACAACAAAAACAAAAAACATATTCCGCCAATGGTCATCTTCACCTGGCAAAAGCAATAGCTTATATGTAGAAAAAGGAGATCAATATATATATATCAAGAGAGAGAGAGAGAGAGAACACATATACAGCTATCAGGCAGCGACCAGGCACTCTGCACAAGCCTGTGCCCTTGCCCCTGTACTAGGCTGCCTGGACTGTCACACAGATTGAGTTTTACAGCAAGTAGGAGGTCAGGGTAGTGGTTAGAAACCATGGGCGTGAGTTAAAAATCTCAGCTGGTTACCAGCTGAAGGCAAGAAACATAAACCTCCCTAAGCCTCGATTTCTTCACTGTGAAATGGGGAGGGTCATGTCAGTGTCAGCATGAGCTGTCGCAGGGTCACAGTTGTGACAAAGAGGAAAGGGGAAATGTATACGAACTACTTAGTCCTAAGTGACTGTTAAATATACATGCTGAATAATCTCTGGCCAATAATCTGTCTGTCTCCTCTTGTAGACTAGTCCTAGAGGCTCAAATATTATTCTTTTGATGTTTGTGTCTCCAGCCCCTTTCTCAATGATTTGGTGCATTAAAAGTGCACATAAATATGCACTGAACAGGAAGCATTTGTATCAGGATTGCACTCTAGTATAAAAAAAAAAGCTCCTCTTCACATTAATACTATAGATCCTCCCTGCCCATTAATCAAATGATGCCAATTTTCCTCCACCCTATCCCCAGACTGTTAAATCAGGAGGTCAGGGGCTGTACCTCTTTTGTTTTGCATACATCCCCAATGCCTAGCACAGAGGCCAGCATATAGTAGGAGCTTAAAAATATTTGTGAACTGAATTTTTAGGAAACATTTATGACACATGTGACAGTTCACCTAGCACTTTCACATAAACATGTGCAGTATCTCTGCAGAGCAGGTTAAAGACATGCTCTAGAGCCAGCTGCACCATTTCCTCACTGAATGGCCTTGGATAGTATACATAAGTTTCCAAAGCCTCAGTTCTCTCACCTGTAAAATGAGAATAATGTCAGTATTGAACGGTTGCGAGTATTAAAATGTTAATTTGTATAAACCTTATAAAACAGTACCTGGCACATAAGTATTCTTTAAATTCTTTAAACTGCAATTATGAATTTTGTTTGTGGCTATTATTCTCCTATCACACCATCAAGAACAAATTATTCCAATTGCCTAAATCATTTCTCCTTTCATATAAGAAAAGATGAGAAGTGGCATCTCTTCTTCAAAATCCTAAAATTAATTTTCAGCAAAACAAATCATAGTCTCAAGCAACTGACATCCAAAGCTATTTGCAAAATAAATGTATTTATAGAGACTGCTGTAAAATAATCCTAAATGGCTCCAGATATTCTATAGTTTATGGCTCTTCCAAATCACGTGTTGGATGCTTCTCCTGCAACATTTGGCATCATTCTTTCCACAAACGAGGTAGCAGCCACATTGGTTTAACCAAAGTGTCCATGTGAATAAAAATACATGTGCATAAACACCAAGCATGCCACCCTCTGCCTCCTCCACAAATCTCATTGCTGTGTTATGGCAAAAAGTGCATAAATCCCAGTATGCATCTCCCCATCACTTAGTGCATGAGCCTGGAGATTAGGCCTAAGATTTCTTAAGTATTTAAATCACTCTATTTAACCACTGATGCTTCTCTACATATTGGAGAAATGAAGAGGAGAAAAATGCAGGTGAAGGGAGCACCTGGGAATGTCATGTACCTTCAGCACTGTAATATTCCAAGCAAAGCTCTCAGTTGCCTTGTTGAGTTTTCTTCCTTTCAAGCCTTCTTTAGCCCCTAGATTATGAAGTTCCTCATGGAACTCCATCCCTTTGAGAAGAAAACATACAAGAATTCTTAGTGTAAATTTCAGAAAAATAGACATTTTATTATGAAAATATTATCAGTAAAAATATAATTTCCCATTCTGTCCATCTCTCATAATTTATAAATCCCAAAATTGAATTCTCCTTTTCATTCTGTTCATCCCCACCAAATGGCTATCCTTAGGGGCCAACTAACAATACTTAATGCTTTAGACCAAACTGCACTTCAAACAGTCAGGAACCGCAGATAAAGACATGAGAAATTAAGAAGCAAATTCTTCCAAGAGGTTACATGTATCCTGTTGGTTCTCTGCCTGGGTTTTATGTGAAAAACCAGAGCGTGTGACTAGTAACCATATGTTATGAATGCATATGTCTTACTTGTCCTTCTGAACCATCTATATGGCTTAATAGTAGGCCTTGGAGCCAACTTAGATGACAATGGGAATTAGGAAATGTTGAGTAAAAACTAAAAGATGATTTTAGGATAGCATTTCTGGAAACACCTAACACCTAAATGCTATAGATTTGGGAATGGCTTAAGTTTATTTTTAGCTCAACCATTTCTCAAAAAAGCATCACCATCATCCACTTCCTCAGTCTTTGTCTTAGCACCTCAAAGATGGGAATCACACTTTCTCCTGGACATCTCATTCCATCTTTGGAGAGCTATGACTGATATCAAGCCAAAGTTTCACTCTAGAACTTCCACTCCTTGGCACTAGTTAGACTCAGATCAACAAGGTATAATCTCTTTTTCATAATGCAGCCTTTAAATATTTGAAGAAAGATATTAAGTAAAGTCTACTAGAATCTTCTCTTCTCCAGATAAAACATTTTAACATGCTTCAGTTTACTAATAATGTCTCTTCTTGAAGGATGACATCCAGGCAGGGTTTCCAGGAGTTGAGCTTGTGGGGACCTGCCTCCAGGAATATCCTACTCAAAGTGGGCTTGAAGGAGCCCATACAAGGTAGGGATTTACTACCGCACTTCTTGTTCTAGTTACTCTGCTTTTATCAATGCAGCCTAAAACCTTGACTTTCCTAGTGCTAATGTCACAGACAGCACATGTTAAGAGAATCATGGGGCCCAGGCTTGTACTCTGGCTCTATCACCTACTATCTACATGAGCATGAACAAGTCCCTGAAACTCTCTGAAATTCAGTTTCCTCATTGATGAAATGATGATAACAAGAGTGTTTACCTCAAGGGACTCTAGTAAAAATTAAATAAATCAATACATATTAAGCTATCAAAAGAGTGCCTGGTACATAGGAGATTATATAAGAATGTGGTGTTATTATTTTTCTGCTTCCTATCAATTGAAACACTTAAGCTTACAGGTCAGAGAAGAGCACCATTTTGAAAATTTGGTCTGGGTTTAAAGGCCAGGCCTACCACATGTTGGTATAGCATTTTGGGTAATTCACTTAATCTCTCAGAGTCTCATATGCCTCATCTGTACATTGAGTATAATGATGATTACCGTGAAGAGTTGTTATGGAAACTAAGTAATATAGTATATGTGCTTAGTATTATCAAATGCAAATATATCAATTATCATGATTACCATCATCTTCATCATAAGCATTGTGTGCAGGGATCAAGTATAACATGAATCCAACAGAAATAAAAGTACAGGGTGTGGAAGAAGGTGAATGTAAACAAACAGAGGTGTGCCCTTGCAGATGAGATTCTTCCAATCCTTAAAGAAAGAACAAATCTAAAATGAGGACTCATACATGAGGCAAAGGCCTAGAAGATTAATAGGATTATGGTTCAAGTTGTACAAATGAAGTGATTTTTAAGGGGCAATGTATAGTAAAAGGTCTATAGGTTTCCAAACCACAAAAGTATATTCAGAACCCCTCACCTCTCTATATATCTAGACACTATCCCCCTATATACACACATACAACCCACCTACTATTACTTAGATTTTTTTCTGTACCAAAAAAAGACTTAAGTTTAACTCAAGGCATAAACTAAGGCAGAAAATATTTGAATTTTAAGAGTAAAAACAGAAACTTTAAAAATCTGCCAAGAATTATAATTATTTTTTTTAAACAAAATGGAGGTGAGAGGTGGTAGGGGTAGATTACCTGCTTTCTGACACTGCACAATCTTTTCCTGGACTGTATCTGCCATTTCTATGAGTAACCGGCTCTCTTGAATCATCTGTTACAAAATAAATATTAAAAAGATGGTTGTTAGAAATTCTTATACTAGATCTTTAGAAATATGACATACAGAGACCCATGTGACACTGGCAGTAATGGAGAACCATGGCCTTAACCACAAGAGATTGGAGAGAGAAGAATAATCTCTGTGCCCACCCTCATCCATTCTAACACTACACCTAATTATATATCATGCCAAATAAATAACTGTTGAATAAATGCATACACATTCTTTAAGTCCCAGATAACATTCATGTACACCCCTATTCTGCCCCCTCACCCCAAAAGTCACTACAACAAGACAACTGGTATTGCAACAATACCAATGAGACTCAGAATAGGGAATCACCTAGTGATAAGCTAAAGTACTACTGTACATCAGTGAAGTTGGTAGCTTGGGTTTGGGTGGCCCAAAGATGGCACAGGTCTAGTCCTCCCTCTAGAAGGGCTCTTGCTCCACTGACAAGAAGGAGAAGTGAGTCGGATTTCAGAGAAACCAATTCAACAAAGCTTGTAGGCAGTAACACTGAAATGGTTGTCCCTGCCCTCCACATTTGGGTAGAAAGCAAACATAAGAGGTAGTTAGTATATATTGAGTGAAGCAGGAGAAATAACTGTTGTGGAAATGAAGAAAAGAAAAGGCTGTATGTGAAGAAGGGGGATGATGATAATCAGTAAAGAAGTTGTGATTAGAAAGATAAGGGGTTGGGGCCCTTTAGAAGAAGTGATGAAAGAAAGGTAACTAATAGGCAAACCAAAATTTCCTGAGTTTCCAGCTATTCTTCTACCCTCAGTAAATGTTGTCCCACTGCATCTGGCTGCTGCACACTTTATCTCAATATTCTGGGCTCAATATGATGAAGGGAGTTCAAGGCAGAATCCACAGTGGACATAAAAGGTCTTAAGTAAGACATTTCTCATTACTAAGTGCTGTTGAACAGATTGTGGTCTTGTACGATCACTTCCAAATACAAAGTGGTTTATGACTACAAATTCTCAAATGGGAAAGAACATTAAATCAGAAATTTTTAGTGCCTCCATAGGAGTAAAATCATATCATTCATTCATTTAACAAATATCTATTGGGCAGCCACTATATATAAGCACTGTGATAAGTAAAATGGATATGATGCATCAATGGGCTCATAGTCTAACAGGGAAGTCTATTCAAATGAATGAAATATGGTAATTAATTCAACCAAAATTCAATTACTTGTATTTTTTTTTTCACCTAAAGCAATAGTTTAAAGTGACTTATGATGGGGTTAGGGGACAAATTGACTATCAAAAGCATAAAACTAAACACCTAAAGAGGTCTAGACTGAATCAAACTTTTTATTTAACTGAATTAAATTAACTCTACTCCAAAATTGTAATGCTTGTTAATAACAATTTATCAAAAGACTAACAGCCTCAGTTACTGCAGATTCCATGTGAATGAAACTCAGGCAGAGAGAGAATTCATATGAGGGTGAGCTGATTTAGTTTTTTCTAAGCTTAGCATCCATACCTGCAATATCAATTGAGTTTTTATAGCACTTCCAAAAGTTATCTGATGTTGCAATTAGTAAAGTAGCAGACAAAATGTTTTGATGAAATTCAAACAAGAGAAACATTCATAAAGAATGGACATATTCTGTGACTTTACCATGAGCAAAATAGTTAATACACCATACATTATTAGAATCATTTCATTTTAAGACTAAAAAAATCTTAGCTATCAAGTCCACCCCCTTAATTTTGTTAAAAAAAGGAAATAATTGTAGGATTTAAGATTCTCTCTAAAAAGTAGAACTAGTTAATGACTGTACTGGAGTTAAAATCCCAGTTTCCTGGTATCCACTTATTTTCATGAAAAAATAGCACCTATTTGGTTTTGTCTGGCCTGGTCATGCTCCATGAGAGAACACATGGCTTCACACACATGCAATCTTTTGAGCCTGAAATATAGGGTTCCAAAGTTTAAGGGCCCAGTACAGTAGGAAAAACATGTGGGCATGCCCCTAAATGATTTATTTCAACCAGATTCAAATACATCCTTTTTAGGCCACAAAACAAGTCTTAATAAATTTAGGAATATTGAAATCATACCAAGCATCTTTTCTAACCACAAGAATATGAAACTGGAAATCAATTATGGGAAACAAAAATTGGAAAAAATACAAACATGTGGAGGTTAAACAGTATGTTACTAAATAACTAACAGGTCAACAAAGAAATTAAGGAGGAAATCAAAAAGTGTTTGTAGAATAATGAAAATAGAAACACAACAATGCAAAATCTTTAGGATTCAGGAAAAGCAGTTCTAAGAGGCAAATTTATAGCATTACAGGCCTACATCAATAAACATGAAAAATCTTAAATAAACAATCTAATCCTACACCTAAAGGAACTAGTAAAGGAAGAACAAACTTAGTTTGCCCAAAAAAAAGGAAGAGCAGAGCAGAAATAGATGAAATGGAAACTAAAAAAACAATAGAAAGGATCAATGAAACTGAGCTTGTTCTTTGAAAAGACAAACAAAATTGACAAACCTTTAGCTAGACTCATCAAGAAAAAAGAAAAGAGGAGTCAAATAAATAAAATCAAAAGGAAAAAGGAGAAGTTACAACTGATACCACAGAAATACAAATAATTATATTTTGAATTTACAGATTCAATGCAATCAAAATACCAATGGCATTTTTCACTGAACTGTAGTAAATAATCCTAAAACTTATATGAAATCACAGGAAACCCCAACTAGCCCAAGTAATCTTGAGAGAGAAAGAAGAACAAAGCTTGGGGTACCCACTCCCTGATTTCAAACTACACTATAAAGTTACAGTAATCAAACAGTATGATACTAGCATAAGAACAGATACATAGACCAGTAGAAGAGAATAGAGAGCCCAGAATAAACCCCTTATATGGTCAATTAATACATGACAAAGGAGGCAAGAATATACAATGGGAAAAAGACAGTCTCTTCAATAAATGGTATGGTGAAAACTGGACAGCTATATGTAAAAGAATGAAACTGGATCACTCCCTCATACCATACATAAAAAATAAACTCTAAATGAATTAAAGACCTACATTTAAGACCAGAAACCATAAAATTCTTAGAAGAAAAGATAGGCAGTGAATTCTTAAATGTCAACTTTAGAAATTTTTTTCTGAATATGTCTCCCTAGACAAGGAAAATAAAAGCAAAAATAAACAAATAAGACTAAATCAAAACCAAAAAGGCTTCTGCATAGCAAGGAAACCATCAACAAAACAAAAAGGCAACATACTGTATGGGAGAATATATTTGCAAACAAAATACCTGATAAAAGGCTAATATACAAAATCTATAAAGAACTCATACAACTCTACACCAAAAAAACCCCAAATAACCTGGTTTAAAAAAATAGGCCCTATGTTTATCACAGCACTATTTACAATAGCCAAGAAATGGAAGCAATCTAAGTGTCCATCAGTAGATGAATGGATAAAGAAGATGTGGTACATATACACAATGGAATATTATTCAGCCATAAGAAGAAAACAAATCCTACCATTTGCAACAACATGTATGGAGCTAGAGGGTATTATGCTCAGTGAAATAAGCCAAGCGGAGAAAGACAAATACCAAATGATTTCACTCATCTGTGGAGTATAAGAACAAAAGAAAAACTGAAGGAACAAAACAGCAGCAGAACCACAGAACCCCAGAATGGACTAACAGTTACCAAAGGGAAAGAGACTGGGGAGTATGGGAGGGTAGGGAGGGATAAGGGTGGGAAAGAAGAAAGGGGGTATTATGATTAGCATGTATAATGTTGGGGGTGGGGGAAAGGGGAGGGCTTTGCAACACAGAGAAGACAAGTAGTGATTCTACAGCGTCTTGCTATGCTGATGGACAGTGACTGTAATGGGGTTTGTGGGGGGACTTGGGGTAGAGGAGAGCCTAGTAAACATAATGTTCTTCAAAAAAATAAAAATAAATAAATTTTAAAAAAAATAGGCAGAGGAGCTGAATAGATAATTTTCCTAAAGAAGAAATACAGATGGCCAACGGACACATGAAAAGATGCTCAACTTCAGTAATCATCAGGGAAATGTAAACCAAAACTACAATGACATATCACCTCACACCAGTCAGAATGGCTAGTGCCATCAAGGAAAATAAATAATGGATGTTGGAGAGGATGTGGAAAAAAGGAACCTTCATACACAGCTAGTGGACTTGCAAATTGGTGTAGCCACTGTGGAAACCAGTATGAAAATTTCTCAAAAAAACTGAAAATAGGAATTCCATATGACCAAGCATTTCTACTTTTGGGAATCTGCCCAAAGAAAACAAAATCATTAATTCAAAAAGATATATGCACTCCTATGTTTATTGCAGCATTACTTACAATAGCCAAGATATAGGAACAGCATAAATGTCCATCAATAGATGAATGGATAAAGAAGATGTGGTATGTATATACAACAGAATATTACTCAGCCACAAGGAACAATGAAATCTTGCCAGTTGAGACAACATGACTTGACCTATAAAGTTTTATGCTAAGTGAAGTAACTCAGAGAAAAACTAATATCATATTTCACTTATATGTGGAATCTAAAAAACAAAACAAATGAACAAATGAACAAAACTGAAGTAGACTCATAAACCCAGAGAACAAAGAGTTGGTTACCATATGTGGTAGGGGGAAGTAGGAGAGGTGAAATAGGTGAAAGGGGAAAAAATAGGTGAGAATGTTTGGTATCTTGTTCAGGGCAATGGCTCCATGAGTGCATACATAAGTCAAAATTCATCAACCTCTACATTAAGATGTGTGCATTTTATTATATGCACCTCAATTTAAAAAATTTTTTTCATCCTTAGGAAAAACTAAAGAAAGGAATAGGATTTCTTTTTTGATAATATCTTGACTGACATCCTATATTCATTTCTCTCATTTTTGCCATTCTCTGATTTTTAAAAAATCTTAATCTATTGATTTGTGGCCAGCTTTCTTTGTA